TATATATATATATAATTAAATTTTTTGGCAATAAAATGAAGCTATGCAACGTAATCCAGAAGCACTGATTACATCCCAAAGGATTGTAAATCGGAGCAGACTGAACATTAACAGCAAACAAGCCAGGTGCGCGCCTCTGTTCTTCTCTGAAATCCCCTGAAGAGATTCACGCTGTGGAACCCAAACTGACTCAGACAATAATTTCTTTCTTATTTCCCTGGGGAGGAGGGGTCGTTTTCTTAAAGAGTTATTGGGATCCATGATGGAAACTGTATGCACTAGAGCAATAACACTTCCCTAACTACTCTGAGGACTGAATTCACTGCAAACAAATCCCAGACACGATATGGCCCCAGTACACAATGTTCCAGCTTTGGGAATTCAGAGTACTATGCCATCCAAATTTATCCTATAAACTAGATTTCTAGGACTGGACTTTATTTCCTCAGCATAATAATGATAAAAGGTAAATTGTTCTACATGTATTACTATATCTGAAGTACTCTTTGGAGCATATTATCATTAGTCATCTAGCTGAATCCTTGCAATAGTCTCATGCAAGGGGGCCATGTCATCTCCACTTTACAGATACAAAAATAAGGTGTAAGGCTTAGGTTACTTACTCTGGGTCATACAGTTGTAGAGTTTGGATTATGGATCCAGACGCTTGCTTTTGAGACTACATGTTCAACCTCTCCTTTCCCAGAGCTACCTACAGGCTTGCACGATCCCCCTGTCTTGAGGTCATCCCGCTTACCAGGGTGTTATTTTTAGAGGTGAACAATGTGGAGGTATGTGTGTGGAACGGCAGGGCCATGATAGGTCACTATTGCTCCTGTGCTCCATCCCATGGCTGCAGCCCGCACATCAAGCCAGCTCTTTGAGGGCCTTCCTCTTTCGCTGGGACGCAGTCAATGTGGAATGAACATGCTTGTTCAGAAAGTTGTCCAGTTATAGCAAGGTTTACTCTTTTAAACATAAAATCTTTCCACTTTATAAAATGTATTCATTTTGATAGAAATCTGTGACATCTTGCAAAACATCCGCTCTTTCAAGAAGAGCGACTAAGGAACATAATGTGACCTCTTCATCGACTAAAGTCACGGCTATGAACCGTCGCTGTGAGGATGATGTCCTCGGGGCTGTTGAGTCAGGGAAGGTCATTTCCTCTGACACTAAATGGCCCTTCACTTTTGTACAGAGCATTTTATATAATATGAATCAATTTTATAGAATATTGATATTTTAATGCATAAGGAAGAGGAGTTTACTGCTGACTGACTACAAAAAGAAGGGCTACACTGGTTGGGCAGCAGTGGAAAGGTCAATACTTAAAAAAAAGGACGGGTGTTTCTAGGAAAGAAGCATTTCTGATGGCCAGGGTGACAAGAGACGCAGAGTTGGCCTCAAGCATAAGGGACTTCCAAGGTTCCACAACTGCTCCTTCAGAAATCCTCAAGCAAGTAAAAGACCCTGCTTCCATGATCACTGTACGAGTCCGAATAAGATTATTTTAAAAAAAAGTCTCTGTTCCCATGGCCTGGAGGCAAACCCATTGTTATAGAGCAGCAGTTCTCAACCGTGGGTCCCACCCCTTTGAGGATCAAATGACCCTTTCACAGGGGTCGCCTAATACATCCTGCATTTCAGATATTTACATTACAATTCATAACAGTAGCGAAAATACCTTTATGAAGTAGCAACAAAAATAATTTTATGGTTGGGGGTCACCACAGCCTGAGGAACCGTATGAAAGGGTTGCGGCATGAGGAAGGTTGAGAATCCCTGTTTTAGTGCATCAAACCCACAAGCCTTTTGGGGCATGTAGTTTGCTTCTGGCAAAGTGCAGGTCTTTAGCAGCTCCCAGCTGCCTGCAGAAGGAGCATCCCAGTGTAAGAGGCTGTAAGCTGAAATATATATATTTTATATATATATATTCATGTATGTGTGTATATATGTAAATAAGTATACTTCCCTAAATCCAAAAGAATATAAGTACATACTATATACTTATATAGTTATTAACATGGTGAGGTTAGAGTAATTTTATTTGTATATATGTGTGTGTGTTTCTATATATTTAGTGTATTTCCCAAAAATGTCTGTAACCAACATAAGATATCTTTGCAACCAGATTTTTAAAAGTACAAGTTTTTGTATTTTTTTTGCCTCTATGACATTCTAAAAGTGGAGCATTTTTTATGATCAAGGGACACATTTAACATAATGTCTGTGCTATCACTCCAACATGTTACTGCAAACTAAGCAATCGCTATGAACAGAAAGCATGGGTTTACAATGAAATAGTTTCACGGAAGTGAAGATGTCTTACTGCCTTGGGCTGTGTCGGAGCTGGTGGGTTTGATGACCCGGTTTGCATCCTCATGCAGGGCTCCAAACCAGTCCTTCAGCCGGGAAGCCAGGTTCCTCAACTCCTTGTCTGTGCAGGCTGGAAAGAAGCGAAGAGAACAGACATTGACTTTCTCCCCATTGGCTCCCTAACCATGTGACCTCCTTGGCAAAGTCATGTTCAAAACAAACATCCCTCTGCATCCATAATATGACCCATCACTCCTGAAAACACCCCAAAGAGTGTGCCAAAGGGAGAACATAGGCTCCCAAGGCCAGCAGCATTGTTCACAACCTGTGCCCTCGGACTGCCTCCAGGCTAGCCGAGCTAGCTGTAATTGCCTCACAGTTGGGCAGCAGTCTTCAAAGATGGACGCGGATCTTCCTTGTTAACTGGATAACTTGTTGCCCCTGTTTTGCCATCGAAGATCACATTTTCCACTAAACTCGTGCCAAGAGATTAATGCCAGGAATAGTTAATACACTTAGGGAGAGGCTGCCTAGGACAAGGCTTAGCTTTGTGGTTTGGCCTACTTTGCTGGCCTTTCTACAGATTCATTCTGGACTCTCCACTAGACAGATCAATGACTTCTCTCTGGAAGACACCTCAGGAACCCTTTGGCCCACCTTGTAGCCTATAGTAGAGTGATTGGAGCAAATACTCCTGGGGAGAACAGGAAAAGAATCCAGAGATGGCTGGGTGAATGGATGAGCCATGGCTCGCCATGAGGTAGGTAATAGGCAGGCTGTTTGAAGCTCCTGGAGCACTGAGCTAAGACAGGCTTGAGCGGGAGAAGGGAAAACTGCAGAGCGATGAGCTCCTTGTGCTCTTGTTTGTGTCCACACAGCGCACTTGCCCGTGCGGACGGCGGTGTTGCTGTCAGGTGCCACTGAGTTGGTTCCAACGCACAGAGCCTCGAAGAGCAATAGACTGAAGCCCAGCTTTGTCGCGTGCTGTCTCTCTGATTTCATCTGCCTCATTGAGGGTCTTCCTTGTCACTGAATTTCTGCTCTCCCAAATCGACTGGTCCTCTCCATGGACCGTGCCCTCCTGACAACATACTCCGAGTATGTGAGAGCAAGTCAACTTCTATGCATGCTAAAATTGAGCCATGGCTCAGGAAGGCGAGAAAAGGAGTTGGAGTCTTTGAAACATGTTGTTAGTGTGACTACATAAGCTCTGGGATATGTTGGTGGTGGTGCCCTCTAGTAGGAGCTCGCCCTTAGTGACCCTAAGTATGACCCACTGCAAAACCTCCTGCTCCTGGGCCGTACGCATAATTGTTCTTGTGTTTGAGCCGCTGCGTCAGTCCATCTCCTTGAGGGTCTTTGTCTTTTTCTCTGTCCTCTACTTTACCAAGCATGACGTCCTTCTCCAGTGATTGGTTTCTCCTGATAACAGCTCCCAAAGGATATGAGATAACGTATTACCATGCTTGCCTCTGGGAGCATTCCAGTTATATTTTTTCTATGTTTGTTCTTTTGGTCGTCCATGGTAATTTCAATACTCTTCCCCAACACACAGTTCAAATGCATCAGTTTTTCTATGGTCTTCCTTATTCAATGTCCAACTTTCACATGATATGAGGCAATGGAAAGTACCATGGCTTAAGTCAGGCACAACTTAATCCTCAAAGTAACATCCTCGCTTTTCCACATTTTAAAGAAGCCTTGTGCCGCAGATTTAATCAATGCAATGCATCATTTGATCTCTTGCCTGGTGCCTCCATGCGCATTGATTGTGGATCCAAACCAGCTGAAGTCCTTGAAAATGAATCTTTTCTCTATTAGGATGTTACATATTAGTCCAGTCATGAGGCTTTTGGTCTTCTCTACAGGGAGTTGTCATCCAGACTGAAGCCTGCACTCCTTGATCGTCATCAGCAAGCGCTTCAAGTCCTCCTCACTTTTACAATTGAGGTGTGTCATCTGCATATCGCAGGTTGTTAATGAGCCTTCCTACAATCCTGAGCCACAGTCTTCTTTATATAAGCCAACTTCTCAGACTATTTGCTCAGCATGGAGATTGAACAAGTATGGTGAGAGGAGACAGCCGTGATGCATACCTTTTCTGATTTTAAACCCTGCAGTGTTCCCTTGCTCTGTCCACACAACTTTCTCTGTGTGCAAGTTTCACATGAGCACAATGAAGTGTTCTGGAATGATCACTGCTCTCAGTGCTATCCACTGTTTGCTGTCATCCACTCAGTCCAATGTCTTTGCACTGTCATTGAAACACAATAAACATCTTTCTAATATTCTTTGATTTCAGCCAAGAGCCATCTGACATCAGCAATGATATCCCTTGTTCTGTGTCTTCTCTGGAAGCTGGCCTGAAGCTCTGGTATCTCCCTGCAATGTACTGCAGCAACCAGTGCTGGATGAGCTTCAGCAACATTTTACTTGTGTGTGATATGAATGATATTGTACTATAATTTGAGCAGTCTGTTGGGTCACCTTTATTTGGAATGGGTACAAATATGGATCTTTTCCAGTCAGTTGGCCAACTGGCTCCTTAATTTCTTGACATAGATGAATGTTTCGTGTGCTTCATCAGCTCATCAGCTCGTTCAATCATTTCCATTCGCATTCTGCCAATTCTTAAGAGTCTAGTTTTTGGCTAATCTTTTCAGTGCAACTTTGATCTCTTCCTTCAGAATGATTGCTTCTTGTTCACATCCCACCTCTTGAAATATCTATCAACTAGTTCTTTTTGATAGAGAGCACTTCTCCCATCAGCCACAGAAGTGACTGTATTCGCTCGCTCTTCTTCTGGTGCTTCCTGCATCATTCAATATTTGGGCCATAGAATATTTCAACACAGCAACTGGAGCCTTGAATTTTTTCTCTGACTCTTTAAATGTAAGATATGTGGAGCCTATTTTTCTAACTATATCTCTTTGCAGATTTCATTATAACATTATACTTTATGTTCTCAAGCTGCCCTTTGGAATTTTCTGTTCATCTCTTTGACATCATCATTTCTTTCTCTTTTTTTTTTCATTTTATTAGGGGCTCATACAACTCATCGCAATCCATACATACATCATTTGTGTCCAGCACATTAGTACATATGTTGACTTCATCCTTCTCACAACACCCGCTTTCCACTTGAGCCCTTGGTGTCAGCTCCTCATTTTTCCCCCTCCCTCCCCGCTCCCCCTCGCCTTGAATCCTTGATAATTTATAAATTATTATTTTATCATATCTTACCCCATCTGATGTCTCCCTCACCCACTTCTCTGCCATCCATCCCTCAGGGAGGAGGCCATATATAGACCTTGTCATCTGTTCCCCCTTTCTCCCTCACCTTCCTTCCACCCTCCCGACATTGCCACTCTCTCCTCTGGTCCTGGGGGGTTCATCAGTCCTGGGTTCACTGTATTTCCAGTTCCTATCTGTGCCAATATACATCCTCCGGTCCTGCCGGATATGTAAGGTAGAATTGGGATCATGATAGTGGGGTATATGGATTCTGCAAAGTGACCCAGGCTGGGTGCTGCTACCAAGAGACAGGGTAACTGCAAAGCATTTTGTATGCTTCACCACTGCAAAGGACAGAAATTTGAGGCCTCAAAATCCCAATGTGTAAGAAAGAACGGAGAGCCTTACAACATCCACTTTCTCCAAATTCTATAGCTGCAATGGGCTAAGAAGCCAGCGGAACTCCCTACAAGGCAGAGCTGGTTTCCCTGTGGTCCTGAGGAGGCACATTTTAGAGTTCCAACCTGGCTATCTTTGAGGGGCCCCAACTCTCCACTGGAAACTCTGGGGTCAGGCATGCAGAATCTCACTTATGGCTTCTTTCTTCATATTAAGACAAAATCCAACCTTGCAAAACACAGATTGGATGCTCACCCATGATTCAAGACACACTTGCTCTAAATAATGCAGGCATGACTGACTTCGAAAACAGTAACTAGGAAATGGCACTGAGAACGTTCTTGACAGGGAGAGAGTGTACAAGCTCTGGTGTCAAACCGCCTGGGCTCAAATCTAGCTTTATCTCTTACTGGCTGGGTGACTTCAAATGAACAAGTCATTTAACCTCTCAGGGCCTCGGTTTCTCATCTGTACACAGCACAGCATCGTCATCATGACATAAATCAGACAATGTGTACATGGTCTATAGGAAGCACTCAGTATGTACCAGCTATGATTTTATCACATTATTACCATTATTATTGTTCTATACAAGTCTAGTGTTTTTTAATTGAAGATTTATAGGTAAATTTAGAGCAAATTACAATATTTTAAAAGTCAAATAGTATAACTTCATATAAGCAATACTGGCTTTGGTTACATATGGCATAAGTTTAAATGGCTACTTGTGCTATATAATACTGTGATCACTAGGCACACGTGGCTATTTAAAATTAATGAAAGCTAGACAAAATGTAAAATCAATTTTTCAGTTACATTACCAATAGTTTATATGCTCAATAGTAATTTATGGCTAGCAACTTCCATATTAAATAGCTGAGATATAGAATATATCCACCATAGCAGTATATTATATTAACCAGCACTGGATAAAGTGAGCTATCATTTGAAGACCTTTTGCAAAAGGTCATAAAAAATACAGAAAAGAAAGCAAACATCAAAGTGGATTTCAGAAGACTCTGAAACTTGCACATAATCATAGACTTGCCAAAGCAAATGGAGAAAGGATGAATTAAAAGAGTTGAATAGAAAGTTTCAAAGGGCAGTGCCCGAAGACAAAGCCAAATATTATAATGAAATGTGCAAAGCCTAGAATTTGAAACCCCAAAGGGAAGAAAAGACTCAGCATATCTGAAATGGAAAGAACTCAAGAAAAATCTCAAGCTTCGAGTTGCAATCTTGAAAGATTCTATGGGCAAAATATTGAATATGCAGGAAGCATCAAGAGAAGATGGAAAGAATACACAGACTCACTCAACCAAAAAGAACTAGTCAACAGGCCACCATTTCAGGAAGTAGAATATGAGCAAAAATTAATCATTCTGAAGGAAGAAGTACAAGTGGCATTGAATGCATTAGCCAAAAAACGAGACTGTAGGAACTAAAGAAATACCAATTGAAATGTTTCAGCAAACTGATGCAGCACTGGAAGCACTC